GTCTAATGACATGTGCAATATACCATGTAAACAAAATATATATTTCGTACTTAAAATAAATAAAAAACACAAACATAGTATCAATAATCTTTATCAAACTAGTTGCTTAAGTCTATTAGTTTTTATTTTTGCTTATACAAATATTTTATATATGCATTTACACCTGTCTTAATTGTTACTATAAACAAAAATATTTGACGCAAAAAAAAATATAAGAAAGAAAAACATTTCATATATATGTTTCGCTTTTCTTTTGTCATCATTACATTCTTATTCCAGAATAGATTCATGAATATTTTCATTTAGATCAATGAATTCTACAAATAACGAGACATCATTACCAATAATTCGTTGTTCATTACAAGATCGTGTTTATGAACCTACTTATTTATTTTTTAAATCAATAAATTCAACATATTTACGTTTACTTATTGGACCAGGCATATTACTTAATTCACTTTGTCTATTTATACTTTCTCGGCCGAGATTATCAAATAAATCGACTACTATTATATTTTTACGTGTTCTTGCGCTTTTTGATATATTATCAATTACATTTAAATACATTCGAGCAGAAATCAATTATCAATCAGTTGAAAAGGGTCGTGAGATATTTTTATTAACTTCATCAGTTTGTAAAGCATTATATGTATTAATGAATGCATGCATTTCAATTGCTATGTGGACCATTGTTTTAATGAGTTTGTAAGCTTTTATTTTTATTTTTATTTTGTTTTCATACGAAAATAACAATACATAACATAAATATTTTTCTTTTATAGAGATAAAGCTGTCGCTGTTAGTTGTCCACTTAAATCAAGTATATGGCTAACTCATAAGAGAGCATTTCAGATTTGTTGTTGTACTATTATTATATTTTCACTTGCCAATTTATCGTTCATTAAATTATCTGATATACACATAGCAAGAAATAGGCGAAAATACTGTGGATTAAATGGTGTTCCTTTTATCGTCGATCTGATTACTGCTTCAATTTGGCCTATAGGTAAATATATCTATTATATCTTTGTTGATTTTTCATCAGCACCCTAGAGAAAGTACTGAGTTCAGGGCACGCATGTACTGAGAAAGCCCTAGCAGGGTACCCAATATGGGTACTTCAAAAATTCTCAGTAGTTATACTGATGTAGGTACTGCGTGTGGTTCCCATAAAAGTATGCTCACTGAACAAGTACTTGTATGGGTACTCGCATCTGTGATTTTACTGAGGAAAGCTGTACAGGGTATCCTATATTTGTCACGTTCTGTGTAGCGACTATTCATTCACCGTTTTCTTTTTCACGCGCGGCTCCATATAAACAACTGAGTAAGATATAAAAAATTAACCTATTTTCCTACTAATTTTTCCTAGATTATTTTTTGACGATTTCTTAGTCGAGAACATGCCGATCTTGATCGTAGATTAAGAGCAGACTACTCCGAAGTGGTCTGATGGATACCTGACCAACTCAAGTCGGGTCAGATCTCGGCATTGTACCTGCTAAGTTTTCAGAATTGAAAAAATTAAACTGAATAAAATCGAAAAAAAAATGTAGTAAATTGCTTTAAGAGAAACAAAAATTAAAAAAAGTTAAAGGCCAGGTTCGATCGTGAACATACTGAAGTTTTTGTAACAGGGTACCTAGAAATGCTATACAATAGTTCCCAATTGACTATCTGATCAGTACGTTCAAGTATCCAGTTAGTACACATTTTGTAGCAGGGTACTTGTCAAAGTACCACTTAGGTACCTGAAAGTACTTCCAAGTACTTTGGTACCTAAAAGTTCCTGTGACATACTGGTAACAGAGTACTTTTTCGGGTACCCTTAACTCAGGACATTCTCTAGGGGCATATTACGTATTAAAATAGACTGTATAGGATGTGATAACAAATACAGGATAATTCGTTTCTGTAGATGTTTCCAATTCAATTATCAATATTACATAATAGAATTTCTTTTCTATTTTTTATGGATAGGTTCAAATACATAGTCGAAAAAAAAGCAGTATTTTTTCTGGATCAGTGAACTCATTCGGAAGACAGCGTCAGACGTTATCATCGAAAATATAGGTTGTAGTTTCTTGGTCAGACAGAAATTATTACATCTCTCAAGAATCTGAATAGACCAAAAACTAGAGATAATTTCATATTACAATGTAATAGGAAGCACAATGCGGAATATAAAGATATGAACATTATTTGATGAAACTAGATAATTGAACGTTATTATTCGTAACTCTAAACAACAGTAATAGTGAAAATTTAGTGAGAAAAGTCTATGATATCAGTTTCGAGAGTCCTCTAACAGAGAAGGTTTTCCTCTTTTGAAATGTTCTTTCATTTTTCTTTTATTAGAAAATATATGTCAAAAGAAATCTGCTTCGGAAACAGAATTTTTGATTGTTTTTTTTCGTCATTAAAATAACTACTAGTGCCATATTCTAAAATGTTTTCTATAATTATGCAAATATTTATGAGACAAATAATTTCATGATTTTTAAATGAAAAATGAATTATAACAATAAGAGAATATTTATCTTACTTATACAATAGTACTTATCAGAATGATTGAAATCGTTTCCTAAATTAAATATGGAATGACTGTTATTCAACCAAATTACTTTCGATGAAAATTTTCTATTTTTGAATAGACTTCTCTAAGGAAGACGTTTTTTACATTTATAACGAGCATCATGTTTTATAAGCTGCAAAGAAATTATAATATTTTTTGAAAAATGACCTTGTTTTTTCTTAGAGAAATCATCTTAACTAAAGTTAATATTGTCTCTTAGGACTACTATGAGTATAATTATGAATCGTTAATATTAAAGATTGATAGCTGTCATATAGAAATGCACCAATATTCCCACGTACACATCATAAACTTCATTATCGTATTAGACAAACAACTTAAACTTATAAACCTAATCCATTAAATCATCATGTTTGATAAGTATTAAAATTTTATTAAAACTCTTCAAAACTGTTTACTAAATAAACCTTCATTAATAAATAAAGTATATATTCTGATCATGATTATATGATTAATTATTAAAGAAATACATTCTCTTCTTTTTTTTTTTGAGAAGATAGATTAACAGTAACTTTTTTTGCTAATCAATAGCTGAATGTATTTTTTTTTGAATTTATGCTTTATTTTCTTCTGGAATAGTTATTAGACATTAAAATTGATTAGATATGCAAGAAAACATCGAAGTCATATAATATGACAGATGAATTATTCAGCAAATGAAATATTACCAAAAGTTAGATACATATATTGATTAAGTCATTCTGTTGTTCGACACGATTAAGAAGTTATAATCTTTCAAGACAAATCTTTTTGTTTCTGAAACATTAATGTAATGATCTCAATCATTTTTAGGTCTTATTGTAGCTGCTAACATTGTTATTGTGGTTGTATTACATTGTGCTTCGCATAATTGGCGAACATCTAATGATTCTAACAAACAAGAGTCTGATTTAAGTTGTTGCAAAAAAAATTTATCGACAGCATCACTTCAACAAAATTGTACCGATAGATCAACAACTACAGTAGCCGAATTAGTATTAGCTACAAAACGACGTACAAATGCACAAGTTACACGTATGCTTTTAGCTGTTACATTATCGTTCATTATATTATATTTTCCTCATATAACGTTTAGTTTTGCAATAAAACCACTTATTAGTCGTCCATGTTCTGAGATTAGTGATCATGATATAGTAGTATATAAACTTGGATTTTATTTAAACATTATACAACATATATTGTCGGACTTACCCCATGTAGTTAATTTCTTCTTATATTGTTTAGCTGGAAAAAAATTTCGAAGTATATTTATAAATGAATTTCATCAATTACTTGTTGATTTTCATTTAATAAAACAAAGAGATAGATGTCATACATAAGGCGCATCTGTTTTAAAGCCTGATTTAACACCAGGTACAACCTATAGTCACGATCTAAGACGTGTATCATCAAAAACTTCTCCATCACAAGTACTGCAAAGTGTTGAAGTTTGATTTAATGGTAAAAATGCTCTAACCATACTTGATCGCCAAAAATGAAAATTTATCAAAAAAAAAACAAATTTATTTATCTAATGATCATCAAACATGTGTTCGTTCTTATACAAGGAAACAATAAAATTGTGAGCATGTTGTCTAATTTCTATATGTTGTAACTATATTTTCGTTTTGGTTGTCTACTAAAGTTTAATAAATATTTAATATGATCGAAATTTACTATTAATCTTATCAGATCATTTTGTCATTAAAAAAAAACACAAAATAGATTTCTATTTCATATTCAATGATTAAATTGAAGATCCATCGACTTGTTTGTCTTTCTATTTACTTTAGAAGAATTTGCGTAGGTTTAACATGAAAATATTCGATTTGACGGTATGATTTCTCCTTTCATGTTTTACTACCGGTTTTTATTATTCGTGATCTGCAAGGAACTATGTAGGTAAAGGAGTAGTATAGATTATGTCTTTATGATTCTTTTTTAACAGACGCTGCAAACCACAAGTATATGTAATTTAGTTGATTATATATGATAAAATGATTGCAACAACAGTTTTTGCAAATGTACTTGAGCAATTTTTATCTTCGCATAAGAAAACTAGGCGTAAGTCATTGATAATTTGTTTTTTGAAAGCATCTTCGAAAATTTTGATTCAGAAATTCCTTTTTTTTTCGTAATATTCAAAAGTCATCATATTTGCTTTTCAAGGGTCTTAATGATAATAACACTGAAATGAATTCAATTCTTGTTAATATTGGTCTAATTACAGTGTTTCTATTTTTCCTCTTGATAATATTTTCCTTGATTATTAAATGTATGAAACTGTTTGATGATGAAACAATAACAATAAAAAAGAAAAGTATAGGTGAAGAAAAAAGAACTTTGTTTTCTAATAGATTCATGTTTTTCTCAAAACAACTGCAACAGAAACAGTATCGAACTACGTCTTTGAGAAGTAGACACAAATTCCTATCATCAATTTCGTCCTCATCGTTATGGACCAATTATCATACAAACAAGTCAATCGAAAAACCTTCACGTTTATCTAATGATTAAAAGTCTCAATCTAAAAAACGTGTAAAAAAATATTCTATTTCTTTTTTTATAATAACTAGTTTTTTTGCACCCAAAACTTCTATAGTTTTATGGCTATACAATAGAATAATAGAAAAAAAGATCTATAAATTTGACTAAAGTAATCATAATTTTTATTTGCTATTCTGTGGCTTTACAAAGGAAGCATATTCTCTAGTGGCACAATCAGAAAAAAGTTGTAGAAGAGGACTTAATCTCCTGACCGTATCTATAGGGAGAGTGACAACTCTCTGATACCGCCTTTAGAAGACATTCAAGAGTCTTTTTAGGGGAAACTTGACAGTTTCTAGAGCGTATCATACATAATATTCCATTGATTGAAAGGTAACAATTGTAAAACCATTAGAAATTCGAGTTTTTTTCTTGTAAGGTCACAACTATTGTATACGTCACTTTTCATGCTTGTCAACATACATAAAGCGATCATTACGAACTTATAACCACTTCATAAATTATAAATTTTCTAGTCTATCAAAAAAAGTAAGGCTGTAAAATAAAACATGTCATATTTTATTTATTGATATATCAACCGAAAATTCTTTTCTGAATTATGAAATTCAATGACATTCAACCCTTGTTAAAATCTACTGACCTATATTATCAATATGAGGGTGTGGGGTGTGGGTCTGTGTGGATGGTGTGGGTGTGTGGGTGTGGGTGTGGGTGGGTGATGTGGGTGTGGGTGTGCGTGTGGGTGTGAATATGGGTGTGGGTGTTGGTATTCTCATCTCTAACACCCACACCCACACCCCACGCCCACACCCACCCACACCCACACCCACACCCCACACCCACACCCACACCCCACACCCACCCACACCCGCGACTACTGATGACTATACAGCGGTTTTAGAAACCGCTAGATACCGCGGCGTTTATCACCGCAATTACTGATGACTGTACCGCGGTTTTAGAAACCGTTCAATGCCGCGGTATTTACCACCGCGGCTATTGGTGACTATACCGCGTTTTTGAAAACCACTCAATACCGCGATGTTTACCACCGCGAGTATTGATGACTATACCGCGATTTCTGAAACCACTGAATACTGTGGTATTTATTACCGCAATAACTAATGACTATATCGCAATTTTTGAAACCGCTCAGTACCGCCCTACTTACCATCACGGTTACCGATGAATATACCGCAGTTTAAAAAACCACTCAATACTGCGGTATTTATCATCTCGGTTACTGATGACTATACCGCGGTTTTGAAAACCGTTGAATACCGTGCTATAAAATACCGCGGTTTCCAATTACCATACCGCGACTTTTTAGACCATTGAATACCGTGGTATTTAAAACCGCGATCATGAATACAAGCAACTCGGTTTCAGAAAACCGCAGTTCAAAAAAACCGCTACCAACCGCGGTTATCCAATCCAAACCGCGGTTTCCTCTAGTAAAACCACGGTCGAATGAAAAAAATCGCGGTTTTGAGCGGTTTCTCGAAAAACATTTTTCCGTGGGTTGTTGTATACGTATCTATTAAAAACAAAAAAAAGGAAAAGGATAAATTATGTAAATATGACTCTAAATTCATTAGGAAATCATTCTATTTTATGATAAGATCATAGTTATTCATACCAAAGTATAACAGAACTATATATCATATTTTCGTTTGTAAAAAAAAAGTTTTACACTTGTATTCAACTAAAATAATAGAGTTCACTCAGACAATTGATTCTTTTGAGAAAGAAATCTAAATGAAAATATATTATTTTACATTTGAAATAGATAAATATTTTCTTTATTCTACAAGTTCGAATTAGTTCTAAGAGTTTGAATTGAATCTAGACTGAAAAAATCGAAATTCAAAATTGTATGTGTCAACTAAATCGTCTTCTTTTACTGTTCATTTTTTTTTCTCATATTTCCAAAAATGAACCAATGTTAGATTTTTCTTTCTTATATTGAAAACTTGACATATAATGCAATATACAAACATTATGCATATGATTCTTACAGTTTCTTGTTGTATATAAGTTTTTTTCGTAAACATGATTTATATGAAAAACCGGTTTTTTTTCTGTGTTTATTTTTTCATATTATTTCTTCAGCAAAGTATATATACATATATATAAATGAAAATTTCAATAAGAATAATACATGGTACATATAATGAACTATAGAAAAGTAAATAATATACAATACACATTTCAGAATAAAACATAAATATATATGTGTGAATAATGTGTTCTACAACAAACAGTATGTTTTCTTTGATTTTTTTTCTATTTTAATAGTGTTAATACTTCTTTTGCTAGAATATAATATCTGATTAATATAATCTAATATAATATAAATATTTAATATACGTTTATTCATATCTAGATTTTCTATTACGAAAATATTCAATTCCAAAACATTGTATATTTGTAACATTTCTACGAAATTTTCGATTCTTTGTTGTGATATCTTCTAGTTTTGTTAATATATCACTTGTAAATAAACAACTATTTGTTGTTGATAACCATGTATTTTTATCAAATATCAATTGACAACAACTATCATCATACCAAAAATTATATTTTATTGTACCAAAAACTTGTTTTTCAAACAAATATCCACCTTCTAAAGATTCTATTTGATGAGATGTACCATATGAAAAATCATTAAAATAAGATCCTACAAATATATAAAAAAATTCATGAATTAAATTTACAAGTAATCTTGTATTCATTGTTATTTTTGACCACATTGGTTCAGTTAATGCTTTTTTATCTTGATAAATAACATAATTTAATCCAGCTAAACCAAGTACAGGTAATTTAACGTCATATACATTTAATTCATTTTTAATAATGTTTAGTTGTTTAATTAAACAATTTTCATTTGTATCCATATTATACTTCTCATTACATGTTAACAATAATAAAGATAGAAAACGTTTTGAATTCATAATAATATTTTTAAAATATTCCACATGAAAATCATTCATTATATTATTAATATAAATATAATTATTATTTATATATTCAGCCATTTCATGAAAAATAATATGGTGTAAACGGGCATATGATCGAAAATTATTATTGTTTATAATACTTTCTATTTGTTGATTATCAACAAATAAACGTGAATAATGAAATAATGATATTAATTCAATTAAATGTACATTTTTTTCACATAATAGTTCATTATTATTATCATATTTTAAAAGACATAATCTTAATGTTGTTATAGATAAATGAACAATTTTTTCTATTACGTTTATTTCATCACCTATATCCTTGTGATTATTATAAAAGATTAAAATTTTTCCAATTGTCCATTGTAATATAGGATCTATATTTTGTAATGATATTTCTTTATATGGTAAAGATATTTGATTATCTATTAAAATTAAATTATATCTTGACCATTGCACTTCAATATCTTTAGTTTCATCATGTGATTTGATTTTTGAAATTATATGTTCGTCCGTGTAAATGTATTTTAACAAAGTATTAAAATCCATTTTATGTTCTTTTACAGGTAGTACGTGGTCTAGTGATATCAAGCAATGGAAGGAATACCAATCAATGTCAAATGCACTACGTGTCGCGACACCTAAGATGAGACTCATTTTTGGAAGCTCCTATTTATAGCATATGAAGTACATTCCTAATAAAGATTATTTATGAAGTCAAATTTTTCTCACCTAGTATAATCATGGAACTAAACTAAAATAAAGGAATTGATTTACTGACATCTTTCGCTTGTATTCATTGTCACACAAAACTGATTGTACTATGCAGGGTTTCTAATGGCAAGTGTACACAACAGAAGCGAAATGTA